AGAGTGTGAGGCAAGACTCAGTCCCGAACCCGGATTGCCTGTGCTCTTTCCATGTCCTCGCCAGTGACAGGGTGGATACCATTTCATTTTGCTTAGACAAAGGTGTTGCTCACACCTTGGGCTCCAAGCTGCTGAATAATGACCTTGCTCTCTTCATTTCTTGGACTATTCTTTAAAACCACAAATGCGTAAGATTATCAAGCTTCTTTGTATATGGAATTAATTATAGATAATGAATGAAATAAAATTTTCAGATATCATGTTGTAACTAGAGACTCCCCCTTGGAACTTCTGATTACTCAGTATGAGATAGAAAGGTCTGATAGCAAGTTATTTTTTTCTAATAAATTTTATTTTATGAGAATAGAACATAATCCTTAAATAAAAAATTTAAAAACATAATGTAGAAAAACATTAAATAAAAAGTTATGTCTCTCTGTCTTATTTATATTTGGTATGTCTTATTTTTAATCGATTTCTTTAATTCATAAATTTGTAGTACTACAAAGTTATAATTGTGTACTCTACTTTGATTTGACTTTTTTCATTTAATCTCATTTTATGCACTCATTCTGTGTTATTACATACTGTTAAAAACATTATTTAATAATGTCAACTGATGTACGATAAACTCTTCTGTGATTCATCAGTCTGGGCCTAGACACAGAAAAGAAAATAAAGGTAACAATATCTTCCATTTCTCACGCCAACAAAAATAGAGCCAAAAGGTCACCGTTTAACACATTTTGAAATGTCCTTTTTTTTTTTAGCCAAATATCAGGGCTGTGAAATTAAATAACATATCTCCTAGAAGCTGCCTTTCCTATAAAGAATTAGAAATTAATATGACAAAAGCAGAAGACTGGGGATTTTAGATCATCCTAAAAGCACGAGGCTGGACGTAGAGGAACCAAGAATCGGGGAAGCCCAAGTTTAGAGCAAAGCGAAGGATTCTTTAAAAAAGATTCGGGAGGGTAATCTAGGTCAGCCAATTCACATCTGGCCAAGACTGCTAGAGACTGAATGTCATTACCATCTGACAGATGCTCAGTGCCTTGAATGAAATGAGTTGGTCTCATTCCAGTTTCCAGAGAACAGTTGTGCCCATCACCAAAGAAAACGGGGGATTCTACCATTAAAGTTGGCACTGATTAACAGCTTTGCTGGCAGGTTCAATAGAAAGGCCAAGAGTTCAGTGGCTGTGGAAGAGGCCGATTTGCTCTGGAACAGAGGAACACGCTGATGAGCACTTGTGAAACCACAATTATCAAATAAATGCCCACAGCCCCGGAACTCTACACCCTGACACATGCCTGGGTGGGGGTCGTCTATAGATGGCTATATTGAGTCCTTGAACCCTTTGGAAAACCCAAAAAGACACCCACCCTCCTCTTTACCAACTAAAAAAATAAAATATGTTGCTAGCTGCATTCCTAGTTTAAATCCTGCCTCTTCCATGAAATTCTCCCTGTTACTGATCAGCTCTCTTTCTGTAGTCTATCTATATTACCCAGTGGACACTCATCTAGCAGTGTTATTTAAATGATTTTAGAGTTCGGCACATTCAGACAAGTACCTAGGATACTGGCCTGGAAGAAATGGCCTATTTTTAAATTGTGAGATCACCTAAGAGACTACAGAACCTTTCTGTTCCCACTTATACCCCAGAGAAGCTTCAGAGTCCCCCAAGCCTCACTTATCAAAACCAGATAGATTCTCAGCCTTGTAAGTATTCAAGTCACCATCCAAAGCCTCTACCCGCCACATTCCTTACTCCTCTCCAGTGCTATCTTTCCTAATACAGCCTTGTTCTTTCCTCTCCAATCAATCAATTTGTCTTGCTTTCATTATACACTTGGCAATTCTTTACTCTGTTCCCTTCAACAAATTATTGCCTCTACCAGCACATTTTCTCCCCTTCTTTCTATCCTCTACCATGACCCAGCTCCTCAAAGACTTGGCTTGGAACTACCTAATTAGAAGAAAAGCCTTCTCAGACCAACCATGCATTGGACATAGTTACTGTTGCACTAATTTTCTGTGTTTGTGTTATTTCTCTAATCACCAGGTTGAACCTTCAAGGACAAGATTGATCATCCTCTTCCCCTGTGGTCTAATACAATGCTCTGCACACAACATATGTTCCATAAATATTTGTGAACTAAAATGAACATGATTTAAAATTTTTTTCAATTAACATACACAGAAGTGACTTTTCTTAAAATAGAGGTTGGTTTGTGGGTCTACTTTTCAAACACAATAAATTGATGATGAAGATAAAGTGCTATAGACTGAATGTTTGTGTCTCTCCAAAATCCTTATGTTGAAATCCTAAACCCCGAAGTGATGGTATTAGAAGGTAGGCCTTTGGGAAGTAATTAAGTTATGAGGGTAGAGCCCGCATGAATGGGATTAGTGCCTTATAAAGAGGCCCTAAAAAGATCCCTCGCCCCTTCAGCCATGTGAGGACACAGAAAAGATGGCTGTCTATGAACCAGACAGTGGGCCCTTACAGACAAAGGATAGGTCAGCACCATGATCTTGGACTTCCCAGCCTTCAGAACTGTGAGAAATAAATGTGTGTTGTTTATAAGCCACCCACTTTATAGTATTTTGGTTATAGCATCCTGAACAAATTAAGACAGTAGGTAAAAGAGTGAGAAGTAAAAAGATTGATTGGCCATCACATCTCTTAGCCTCCACCACTGCTATTCCTGCCACTTCTTGACCAGTTATACCATTTGATGAGTGCATACTCTTTGCCAAGCACTATGTATAATTTATGTCACCTAACCAAAAGAGATAGAAGCTATTATTCTTTTATTAGCATTTTGCAGATGGATAAACTGAAACTTAGATAAGTTAAGCAATTTGCTCCAAATCACATTTTAAGTGGAAAGTCAGCTTCTACTGAACTAAGAGGAAAGGATGGGAAGAGGTGGGAAAGACAGTACATGAAAACGAAGAATCATTTGGTCACATTTTGCAGACTGCCATCCAGTCAAATCTTCCTCCATAACTGTGGTGGCTGTAAGTGGTGTGGCCCAGGTCCTTCCCCAATCTGGAAATGGCTGCTGGTGGCTCACAGCTAAGCCTCAACCTGGGATCTGTGCTTGGAAGAAGGGAGCTGCCTTAGCCAAGTTACAGCCCCACTTAGGGCTGGCCAGACACAGGGGTACAAAAATCGAGCACCTGGCCTCACTTTGGGATATTTTCAAAGGGCCACTCCAACTCCAGTGTTTCCCCATAGCACTGGCCGAGGCCTTGATGTCAATATTCCAGCTCAGCTTCTTCAAACAATAAATTCTGCCTTCCTCTTTCTCTCCCTCCCAAAATTTGTTGTTCCTAAAAGCAGGCCCTTAAACACCTCTGACTCTGAGCCTATTTCCTGGAAAGCTGCCGGAAGATATTAATCATTAGTGGCAAAGCAGAAATCAGGGTCCACAGCCTGTGCTCTAGCTTAAAACCAAAATGGAGATGCTAGAGGGGCACATCCAAATCTCCTCACCTAGTGTTAGCTGTGGAAAACCTTGTGACTTCGGAAGAACCTGGAAGTGTATCCCTTCACCCTGATGTTCCCTTTGCCGCAGTTAGAGGCCTTCCTTGTCCCCCTCTCCCATCAAGTACAAGGACCTTGACATCCTCTCTCATATCACCTTCTTTCCTATCAACCTCTGCTTTTAGGAGATTTGATGAATGTAGTCACACAAAAGGAAAATTAATAAAATTAATGTATTACTGTTTCAGATCGAAAATAAGCTCATGCTCACTTTCAGTTTAAACCAAAGGAAGAATAGGTACAGCAAAAGTCCAGATGATTATTTATTGATTGATTTATTTACTCAGTTAAAAACATATATTTGAGCACCTACTGTGCTGAGCTGGTTGTGAGCTGGGTGCAAGAGAGTTTGTTTCAGGTTGGAGCCCTTTAGAACCAACCTCAAAGACTGACTCCACTGAGCTCTGAGACCTCCACTTTCCATCTATGTATGAGATGCTGTAAGGGTGCATCAATTTTATGCCGATTTATAGGATCACTAGCAGTTGATGAATTACCACATCGTAACAGGAGCAGACATCTATGGGTGGTTCCCTCGATTCTTCTAGGACTAAAATAAAAATCTAGTCTTTTCATATGGAGTTCATTTCACCAGAAAAACAAAGAAGCAGTCAGTCCCTCTTCTGTCAACTCTTAAGCACACTAAGAACTTTATCCAAGATACTGGAGATGGTTCAGAGGAGTCAGTAGCCTTTTAAATTCAGTCTTCCCCGCTATTCAGCAAAGGCGTATTTACCTGCTTTTAGATGAGTTCAAGATAAAGGACACATAGGAAAACTTCACAGAGGCGGGGGGAGGGGGGAAGGGGGGAGCGTTGCTACAGCCTATCTACTCTCTGAATGATTCTTATGTCTACTGAAGAATAAAGATGGAAGTTGTTTCTAATTTTCTTACATATTAAAAATGAACACAGGAGTTGCTGCTCGGCTTTTCACAGATGAATATACACAGCTACGAGGCAGCAGACTCAGTGGAATCAGCAAGACACTGGAGACTCAGGACAAAGAGTTTTAATTGCCATTTACTACTGTTATCTTGCCAAGAATCTCCATTTAAGTAAGTCACTTAACTTTTCTTTTAACCTCAATTTAAAAAAAAAAAGTGAGATTAATAAAGGTTCAGTTCACAGTTTGCTATCAGGTATAATTAATAAGGTATGCAAAACTGTCTCATCTACATTATTCATGAATAATTCCCAGAGATAATACAAACTCTCTCTTGGGCAACAGAAATGTGCTTTTTAAATTTGGCAGATGTGTTCTCATTAACAAAAAGGTAAAATTTTAAATACTTAGATTGAGTGTTTTTAACACACACGCACACACACATATGCACACATACATGCCAGGGAAACCATAGACAGAAAACAGTGTGAAGTCTGACTCACCTGTAATGATGAAAGGAGCTTTCAGATGTAACCTAAAGCTCTGAGATAATTTACCTTGATATACTGCCACAGATGACTGAGCACGGGTCAGTGTTGTGCAAGTACTGAATGGCTTTGGCTGTTCCTATTAATACACTGATTCGAATGTGCCAAGAAAGTGGGGCTGTGTTTCCCTAAAAAGACAATAGTAGTTGGTTTAGTTGTACTTTATGAGTAAAAATCATGTATGTATTAATTACATACAAGTATGCCAGAATAGAAGCTGATTGTGGTGGTGGTGGTGGTGGTGGTGGTGGTGGTGGTGGT